GGTGCCCCTTGCACAGGCGCTTCCGAGCCGATGGAGATATCAAGCATGCGGAGCTCAGCATGCTTGTTTTAGTTGTTGCGCAGTGGAAGTATTCTCAGTGGTGACACTGAAATCACGCTTTTGTGGTGCGAAGCTGCATCACAGTTACAGGCTTCTTCCTGTGATTGCAACCCGGAAAGGACCTATCCTGGCTAGAGGCCCGAGTCCTGGCCGCGGCGAAGGACGAGACTTCCACGCCTGCTTGCGCCAAGCATTTCCAGTTCCAGTCCTTCAACCCTAGGGATCTAAGCGAATCAATGTTGTTGCCTGATTTTTGCTTTGCGGGTTATAACAAGTTGCGAAGGTTGAGCTGTTGGAATACTAGGTCTGAGTTTTGTGCAACAGCGAGAAAGTTGCAGCTCTTCTGTTTGATTGACAGGAAAGTGGAGGAAAGGTCACCGTGCAGGCAGGTTGCCGAAGGATGCACATGATGGAAAATGCATCATTCCGATACTTTCCCGGCCGTATGACCGGATGGTATAAATTTGGGTTTTGAAACGACCTGTGGGAATTACTCTGGGCCCCACGTAATTGCGATATAGTGACCAGATAGTTTATAGTACCATAGGTTCCGTCGTTCGGATGCGGCTGCAGGCCAACGATCGGGGTGATCCCCAGGTCCAAATTGAGGATTTGGGCGAGTCGCTGAAGGCTGGAAGGAGGATGGGTCATTTACGTGGAGACAACATATCACCAAGAAAGCCAGCCATTGTCTAACCATGGCAGCGCATGCTTGCGGAAGGTGGAAACCTTAATCAGTGGGCGCCTGACTGTGTGCATGTGGTAGGTTGTGAAAACTGTGGTCACTTTTGGGGGTCCTTAGGGTGCCCCAAGAGGGACCACAATTGATGACGTTCCTGTGTATAGGTTCGAGGAGACCATTTTGCTTTGTGGGAGGTGGAGCCCTTCATTGAGCGTTTGCACACGCTCTTCGAGGAGGATCTGCGCGAGGCACAGCAAGTTTAGCTAGTCTAGGGTTCTTTTTTGAGTAGAATCTCATGTAAACTTTTACCGAGGAACCATACTCAAGGCCAAGCTTAGCGACTTGATCCGCCAGTGAGCCCGCAACCTATGAATGCAGTCCGACATTGCAACCCTGCGTCGGAGCTTTGACAAATCGCTGCCCGTGGCATAGAGGGAAGAACAAATCGGCAAGCAGCAGGGGTGTCAGTGTGAGGGTGTGTTCCGAATCTACGGATTAGCCCCTTTTTCCAAGATGCTTCTACGTCTACCTAGAGGCTCCAACGTAATTAGGTTCCTGTTTGCCTATCCGTCGCTGGACACTTTCAACGCTTGCCACGTATTTCGTGGTCCTGCCAGGCTGGGGTTTTGAAGTGGCTGTTCAATCTTTGGAAAATTACGGTTCTCGCATGCTAGGAGCCGTCGGCATCCATGAGCCAAGGGCGGTTCCCGAAATTAGGATACCTTTCTGGGGGTTCCTAGAAAAGAACTATAGTATATTGATGTTGTTTGGGGGCAGCTACCATAGAAGCCTCAAACTCAAGGTTATCGATGAGGCCGCCCAAACTGCAGCCGACGAGCACGCCGTCGCTGAGGGCACTGACGTGGCTGCTGCTAGCAAAATGTGAGTAGGCCCAAGCGTGCACAACAAAACAAAACACTAGTCAAAACCGCTCCTCAGCATCAACCCATGAAAGTCTTCTTCCACTGGGTGAAGGCTCACAAAGGCAACGCCGGCGGGCGAACCTGCGGACGTTCTTGCAAACAAGGGAAGAGAGTCGGCGCAACGAGTGGGGACCACAGCGCAACCCCCTGAGCCACAGCACTCCAGCACCGCAAGCATGGAGGATGCTTTCACGTCAGTGTTAAAGGAAGCGGCGAAACAAACTTTCCGCAACGCCATCTGTACACAACGCAATCCCTGGATCACTGACCACACTCTTGAACTCCTTCAGCAAGAAGCCGATGGAGACCACGCCGCACAACCAGGCCAAACGATCAGCACGAAAAGACAGGGTTAACTGGGTACATGCCCAACTATAGTGAAGGACCCAAGCGCAGAACACAGCGCAGTATGGAGCGCAGTAAGAACACAACAATCGGGCTTTAGAGGTAAAAAGTCACACCTTGTGACCTTGTAGTCAAAGGTAAACCGGTACCATGGAGTATAAACCCACGAAGCCTTTGAGAATCGATTGTCCAAACCAGACTCTTCAATCATCACGAACAATACTACGAAGTACAAAGTACGGTTTCAGACCACACCACGGGACCACACAGCCACTCTTTATACCTAGAATGTTGATGGAATGGCTGAGATGACCTCGAATCCACAGCATTACCTCTGTTTGGGTTGGAAGCAAGCATTTGCCTCATTAGACCACAACGCAGTGATACTTGCCCTTAAAAGATTCGGACGGTCGCGCGAATCCTTAGCCGTTATCAAATCCATCTATGACGACCCCACTTTCCTTACAAGGGGCCCAGAAGACCACAACGCTAAAGGTAAAGTAGGGGCAGGGATCAGACAGGATGCCCCCTTAGCCCGTACATCGTCCTGCCTGTCATAATGGAGGACGTGGATCTAGCAGTCCAGGGTGTAGCCAGAAACACATGGTCGGTAGCTAGGCCCACAACAGACATAGAATATGCTGACGATGCACTACTTGTCGCCAGGACCACAACGCAACTTACTTTCTTACCACACACTCTAGACAAACATGCAGAACTTCACGTGATGCACCTTAACACAGAAAAACGGGATTTCTTCTGGACCCTAGACACCCCGCGCAAAAAATCAAAGGAGGGCAAGTGAAGTAGTTAGGATCTACGATCATATGGGAGAAGCCCTTTGAAGCAGCGTTTAGGCACAGAGCAGCAGTAGCTGAAGCAGCATATAAAATGCTCCGCCTGGTTTGGAATAGTAACCTTCCCAGAAAGACCAAACTTCGCATATTCCAATCGGTCTTTATCCCTACGCTTATCTATGGCCTAAATACAATCACCCTGACTGACAAGCACCTCGCCCGAATAGATGCAGACAGCATTCGCTTCCTAAGAAGAGTGGTTAACATCAAAGCTTCCTATTGCTCGGATACCTAACCACACCGTATGGGGAACAGCAAACTACCCCAAAAAACCTTTGAGCTCAAGGAATTCGATTTCCAGACGCGGAAGCGGCCGCTGAAGTTGGTCAAACATTTCCCGGCGCAAGGAGGAAGGCTTCTTTTTGTTTGCTGCTGCGGACTAGAGTTGTCCCACGTCTTTCCAAGGCTTCCCTAGCGAACTGCATGCTGTTCTTGGCCGGGAAGACAACAGCGTCTACTACTCCCAGTCCAGGATCAGCGCTTCGCCGACAGCGCGGTGGCAGCCGTGCGGAGCTCGGGATCTTCAGCAGGCGCCGGTCGGATTCATGTCAGTCTTTCGCGCCGTGGCCCGCGCTGTTTTCTTATGGCTGCCAGGCCTACGCCCGGCTGCAGCTGCTTGTTACGCCCAGCGAATCGCACCCGCTTGATGGGCTGACGGTCAAGCTACTCCCCACTGCCTCAAGCACGAATCAGGACTGAGTTGGGCGTCGGGGCTGGGGTAAGGAAATATTTTTCTGTAAGCCCGCGTCTCCTTCTATCGTCTAGAATGCGTTGTGCATGCGGCTATGTCGCGACTACGCGAGGCGGGTGTTGACGTCCTTGACGGCGAGATTCTGAGGGGCCGCGGCGTGGCGCGCAGGTGTGGTGGCCTGCGCGTATGCTTGTGTGATGATCCCTGACAGGCTGGGGCTGTGGACGGATGGTGAGCAGTGAGCAGTTCTACCAGCCGAAGCAGATTCGTGGCAATTTGACCTACTCCCAGAATTCGCAGCCCTACCGCCAGAACGGCTGTGTGTGTTGGGTTTATGATGTGCGACAGTTCTAAAGCTCTGACGTCTAAGGCTGTTTCAGCAGTTTCCGGGAAGTTTGTATCCAGCCGGCGTTCATGTTCGACTGACACCAAATCCCATTCTCTTCAGGGCCAGCAGCCTGAGGAAATCCTGCAGGCCAGGCTGCTCACATGTAGCAAGTCGCGATGCAAGACTTCCGCTGCGTCAGGTCAAGGGCATGCCGGGCTTGAGCTCCCAGCTGGCGGACTTTGAGCTGCTTGTTCTCAAGGCATGCGTCAATCTGAGGAAGGCTGCGATCCGCGCTGTGTGTAGACAGTGTGGATTTCTCATGTCAGAAAACAAACATCTCACGTACAAAGCACGCGTCCCTTACGACAGGCGCCAATCCCGGGCTCAGAAGTTTCCTATACAATTCTCAACAAAAGCTACTAGAATCAGTTACTCCGCAGACCCTACAGAGTCCCTGCATAACGCAGTTGTCAACTCTGCGTATAGACACAGAATACTCGCTACTGGGCGAAGAAGAGGAATGAAAATGCCGTATTGGATAGAGACCACAACGCAGCGGCATTATAAGAACCATTGGCAAGAAAGACCTAAACTTCCCAAACCCTGTAAACCCTAAACTTCCTAAACCCTGAACCCTAGACACTATAAACCATAAACCCCAAAAGCCCTAAACTTCGTAAACCCGAGACCCTACAAACCCCATAAGCCCTAAACCCTATAAACCCGAAACTTCCTAAACCCTGAACCCTAAACCCTATAAAACCTATAGGCCCTAATCACCAGCAACCCAGACCCCCGGGAGGATCCAAAAAGTAGATCCCCTAAGGGGGTTCCTGCAAAGTACTCTTTAGTAGCTAGGGTCCCAAGTTAGCGGACCTGCTTTTTGGATCCTCCCGGGGGCCCTATAAACCCGATAAGCCCTAAACCCTATAAGCCCTAAAAGCCCCATAAACTCCATAAGCCCTATAAACCATATAAGCCCAAAACCTTCGTCAACAACCAGCAGGTTGGTAGTTCTCTAAATTAGGATCCCAATTGGGTCCCCAATATAGTACGGCACCCGTCAAAAAGGACCCTACTTTACAGAGCTACCCACGTGGTCTGGCTTTGGAAGGTCCCAGGTCCGGCATCGGCGGCGCTGCCCTTGGTGGCCGCTCGCTTCGCTTCGGCCGGGAATTTAGGGTTTAGGGGTTTAGGGGTTTACGGTTTAGGGGTTTAGGGGCTTAGGGTTTAGGTTTTAGAGTTTAGGGGATGTTGGGGCGAGTATCTTGTTGCTTTTCTGGGGTTACTTGGGTTTCTGCAGGGGTTGTACCGGGACTCAACGGTTTAACCGTCCTGGTCTTGAGAGCCCTATGAAACCCCAGGCCACATCATGGCAAACCCCTTCAATTCGGCGTTGAGCTCCTATCAAGACTTCTTCTAAAGCCTCACCAGAATCTTCAAGTTTGCTCCACAAATCCTAAACCCTAATATCCCCGAACCCCCAAAGCTCCAAGAACCTGACAGCGCCTGACTAGGTGGCACTTTGGGAGTTTGAAACTCCCCTTATGGTTTATCTCAAGGTACCCTATTCATGCAACAAAAGGCCCCCAACCTACCTTAAACCCTAAAGCCTAAGTAAACCCTAAGCCCTAAACCCTAAGCAAACCCTGAACCCAAGGCCCACAAGTTTCCTTTTGTGCCGAGGCAACATCCGGCTCGCTGCTTTGGATCGTGGCGACGGCCGGGGGGGTTTAGGGTTTAGGGCATATAGGGTTTAGGGCGTAGGGTTGAAGGATTAGGGTTTAGGGTTTCGTGTTTAGGGGCTAACTTTGAACATTTCGGGGTTTTTTGGTTTTCCGGCATTAGGGGCTAGGGTTTTTAGGGTTTAGGGTGCAGTTTTTGGTCTTTTGTGAAGCGGGGGGTGTAGGGTTTTCGGATTTTTAAGTATTCCAGGGTTTAGGGGTTTAAGTTTCAGGGTTTAGGGTTGTGGGTTTTAGGTTCTTCTTGCATTTCAGGCAAGGCAAGGCTCTTGCTTGTAATTGCATTGTGCTTGTCATTGCCGTTCCTGCTCTGCTTGTTATTTCCGCAAACCCCCTACGAAGGAAATGTAGCTGCAAGGGGACGTGCCGCACAAATCTTCAAGCTTGCGGAGGATTGGGGTTTTTGGAGCGGTCAGGGATGCTCAGAGTGGGTGGGTCTGGGTTAAAAGTTTCCGGGCTCCTTTATTGGACTTATATAGGCTTCAGGGTTTGGGATTTATGGCTTATGAGTCATGAGGGCGAGTGCTTTTATCAGTTTTATGTTAAGTTTAGTGCTGCCTTAAACCCTAAACCTTAAACCCTAAACCCTAAACCCCTAAACGCCCGAACTCATAACTAATCCCGCGGTCGTGGGAGGTCTGTGGCTGCTATGCCATGCACCGGTCGCTCATGGATCCGGAGGCACGGCTCCAACGGGGCTAAACGGCTTGACATTTTCTGTCTCAGGGCTTACCATTAAAAGGTTCCCAGAACTCTAAAGGCTTTTGGGTTTGGGGTTTCGTTAGTTGAGGGTTCAGGACTTGAAGGTCTCGGCCAGAGTCTTGCAGTGGTTGTTGCAGCAGGAGGACGCAGAGGGGTAGTCTTCTGACCTTAGTTCAAGAACAATAATAACATCAGATTCACTTGCTTGAGCTATCACAACAGCAACAGTAACGGGCGATGACGACGACGACGGCCACCACTAAGGTTAGCAGTGCCACCACCACCACGACGGTCGACGACGACTACTACTACCACCGCATCCTACCACTTTTTGCCAATCCTATTGTTGCTTTGCCGCCACCCTACACAGCCTTTCTCCCAAAACCTCAAGCCCTACACCCCACAACCAGATCCTAGAACCGAAGCCATAGCCTCTACGCCCGAAGCCCTACATTATAGGGTTTAGGATTTAGGGGTTTAGGGTTTGTGTCGCAGGTTAGGGTTTAGGGGTTTCGAGGTTTAGGGTTTAGGGCCCTGGCGCCTGCACAGAGCCTAGACAGTTCCTTGCGCGCAAGCATCGTCGCGTGGTTTGGAAACCTTTGCAGTCGGTTTGATAACCTTGAACCGTTTTGGGGTAGCAAAAGACCCCCCACAAATTGCTTCTCAAAGCCCTAGGCTTGCAAATGCTTGCATGTTGCTCTCTGTGCAACGGAAACTCTCAGACAATTCGTGCAAGACCCTCTGGTTTTTCCCTCGCTGACTTAGGGGGGCCTTTAGACCCTAAACCCTAAACCTTAAACCCTAAGCCTTAAAGGCCCTAAACCCTAAACCCTATAAAGGCGATCGGGACTTCTGAAGGGGTCCCGGATTTCGAGCCTCCTTCAGGTGCCCTTCCCGCAGATCTCGGAGCTGGCGGTCGGGCCCGATGCAGCGAAGCTGCTCTACAGGCTTCCTTCCTGCGGGCCTTTTTTTGGGGGTTGTAGGGTTTTTTTTTGGGGGGCGCCAGGTTGCTTTTGAGGCTTCCCTTCGGCTTTTGGGGGTTAGGTTTTTAGGGTTTAGGGAACATGCGGCGGGTGAGGTGGGCTTAAGCTTTGAGGGAGATGGTCGCTGCGAGGCGAGGTGGGAAAGCCTGACCCTTAAACCCCAAACCCTAAACCTTAAACCCGAAACCCTAACTCTAAACCCTTGACCTTAAGCCCTAAGCCCTAAACCCTAAACCCTAAACCCTAAACCCTAGACCCTAAACCTTAAACCCTAAACCGTACTTTCCGTCCGTCAGATCGTTGGGTTCCTTCTCAAAGATGCCAATCTCCACAATAGAGGGACCCTCTGCTAAGAAGCCTTCTGGATTTAAAGGAATAATCATCCTTAGGTAAAGAATCCTGGGGTTAGGATAGGCTGGCCAGAGAGTTTGGGGTTTGGGGTTTGGGGTAGAGAAGTTTCCTGTGACAAGCGTTCCCCCCCCAGCAATGAAAACTCCAACTTAGACATGTCGTGGCTTCTGAGATCGTATCCCTGGGGATCAGCGATACCTACACTATTAGCCTTGAATACTAAAGCCTACACCTACACTCCAAACCCGAAAATCTAGACCCAAAGCCCTAAACCCGACACCCAATGAGTCCTACACTCGAATCGGAGCTGAAATCCTACACCGTGGCCCCAACGCCGCAGAACCTATCATATCGGTCGGAATACTTAGTAATAGCATCCCCTTAAACTGTAGAAGGGTTTAGGGTTTAGGGGCTAGGGTTTACTGCAAAGTCCTGTGCATTGTTAAGGCCCCGACCTACATAAACGCGCCCAAGCCGAACAACCCCGAACACCAGCTGCTGGGTCAAGCTTCTGGAGCCAAGCATACCAACCCTCAAGAGTCAGGGCTGCTTCGGGACTGGCTCAGTTTGTTTATCTTGTTGGTTTATGGTTTTGGTAGAGATTTCCGAGAATATCTGGAGGGTTTGCGAGGGTCTTAGGCTCAGGGGGCTTAAAAAGTAGGGTCAGGGCAACTACTTAACCCCTGTAAGGTGCTTCCGGCCAAACATTTTAACTAACCCTGAACCTTCAAGTGCCGAACTGTCCCAAGGCCCTGAACGCTAAACCCCCACTCTGTTTACATGTGTATGGTAGTGTGGGATTTTATGCATTAGTTTTAGGCTTTAGGGTGTTTAATAGGTAGGGTTGAGGGTTTCATGTTTAGGGCGTCAGGTATGGCTGTAGGTTAATCTTCAATGTACAGTCCTTCAAACCGCATGCCCTGATTTCGGCGAGGCCTGCAACACTTTCCGGCACCCCAACACCCAGCAGCCAAGACTGCCACTGCTGCCGAACACTGAAGCGGCGTTGTGCATCCTCAGCAACCGTATGTTCTGAAGCCCCACACCCTCTAAACCCTAGACCCTAAACCCTAAGCCCTGAAGCCTCGGCCCCCGAAACCGCGGCTTACACCCTACACCCTCGATCACGGACCCTGAGCTCACGTCGCGGAAGGGTGGGCTTCGCTTCCTCTGCGGCTTTGCTGGCGTCGGTGGTACAGCGACTCGGCCCTTCGACGAGCTTGTAGCGGCTTGCGGGCTTAGAGTGGAGTCAGGTGAATAGAATCTAGGGGCCTTAATAATTACCTATACTACTTTGAGGGTTCCTTACTATAAGCATAGTATAGTATACCCCTAAATTCTAATCATTCCATACTTTTTCTAACTACCTAAATTATTAAGACCCCCACGTTACCTTCTGTAGATTGGGAGGGTCCTCGTCGTAAGAGCGACCTATTCTTCTGGGTTGTGTAGTCCTACGAGCACTACGAGGTACTTGGAAGTAGAGCTGTAAAAAGCCAGTACTATTGAAAGCTACCAAACGGGCCTGAATAGTTAGAATCGGTTATTGTGGGGGTATATAGTTAATGAGTTTCAACTTATTGTAGAGGTACTATCATGAAAGAGTATTACTCATGATACAGACCTCTGCTTCAAGGGATTATGGTTATAAGTACGTCAATTGGGGTTAGAGGAATTATAAGTATGAGTATCTGTTTTGTATCCCCAGATACTAATTCCCATGATCCTTTAAGTATCCTATCCCGGGAAGGCACCTTCCGGAAGCCTTCGGGTCCTTCTAATCATAAGGACCCTTAGAGGGGTAAGGGGGCCTTAATCCCCATAAGAGGGACCCTATAAGGGTCTAATCAGGCAGTATATTCCCCTACTAAACCCTAAACCCTCCTTACCCCCCTTATAAGGGTCCGTATGACAGCATCATCCTTCAGCGGGCCATCGACGGCGGAGGCCGCAGAAGGTGCGCTTGGCATGATTGCATGTGGGTATTAGATGCGAGGCCCTAGACCTTTGTCTTTGCAACATGTTGTTGGAGATGTTTGGTGTCCGCATGTTTAGCAGCACAGTCCCATGTGCTCCTGAAGGAGCAACTTCTGCTCGAGTTTCCAACAGTTTCTCGGCAGTCTTTCCTTAACTTAGTCGTTTCGCCATGGCTGCTAAGTCAAAGTTCAGATTTGCACTGCAACTTGCGGATGCCGAGCTTGCGTCGGAAAGGTTGAGAACAGAGCTGGCTTTTCTGGAGCGACAAGCTATGCGGACAGGCAGCCTGCCAGCAAATCAGGAGCAGGCTGAAGAGGATCGCCCACAAGACGGCAATTCTGAAACCCAAGACAAGAAACAAAAGCTCGACTACCTGAAGGGCACGCTTGCGATGTACGACGATGTCAAGTACGTGTTGAAACTCAAGGACATGGGCATTGAGAGAGCTTATGGACGACTTTCTTGCGCAGAGAAGGATCGAGCGGAGCAAGTCTACATGAAGATGATCGAACTCCTCAAGAAAATGGAGGGGGAGATCTACAAGATTCTCCAAACCGACTATCCATGGTTCAACGCCCAAGTTCGCAAGACCCGACGTTGGTTGAAAGAGCAACAAGGACAAGCGATGTGTGTTTTCATGTCAAGTACCGCGTGTGTTGCCGGATGTCTGGGCGTGTTGTCCGCCCATGGTTTCCATCCATTCTATTGGGCTGGCTTGGTGAAAGCACCACTGACTGTGGCCGCAATGGTTGGTGTCGGTTGTGTCGGTGGTGCTTGCTTGGGTGCTCTTTTCGTTATTGCTTTGAATTACTGTCTGTCAAATGATTGGTGGGAGTTCCTGACGGACACGTCCCTATCACATGTGGACGACATCAATCGAGTTGTGAAAGCGATGGAACAGGTCGAAGATGACAAGTTTCTGGAAAGCCTGGACGAGATCCTCATGAGAATGGACGGCTATTCAAGCGCAATTCCCGATGTCCCGGATCGGCTTTGCCAGATTTGCCTTGAAGAGGGTCATGACGTCGTCGCGCCAGTCAAGGCTCCGCGATGCAAAGGTTCTCATTTCATGTGCAAGCAGCACTGGAAGCGGTACATCGAGAACTTCGATGACAAATGCCCCCAGTGTCGTGTATAAATGGACACTCTTCGGCATCTCTTGCCTTGTGTTGCTCCGCTTGTGTCATCTGCCTGCATAGAAAGGCAGGCATTTCGTGAGAGTCAGCTGCACCGATGTAGATATGCCTGCTGGCATCAGATACCGCGTCGGTGCAAGCCGCAGTGTGTACACCCAAAACATCGTAAACCGCCTATCTGTATGTATGAAACCCACGAAGCTGTGCAGTTCCGCTCCTACATCATTTGCTTGAAAGACGCTCCGGCACGGTTGGTAACTGAGCCGAGCACGCATTTTGATTGAGGCTGAAAATGATGATGTTCACCGTTTGGAAGCTGCTCTAATGCTAGGCGTAGCAGGTGGCAACCATGTCAGCGGGCAGAAGAGCTGTCATGCATAAGGCTGTGCAATATGAACAGTATCATTCGTAGCATCGGCGTCTATCGATCGCGATCGTGCAACCACACTAGTAAGCCTGCAACGGCTGTTCTCCTTGTTTCTGCGACTGTGACGAAGTCTACAATTCTTCCAATGCTACTGCGGCTGCCTTTGCTATTACCCATCTGTTTCAAATGTTCCTGCTGTGGTTTGCTACTAGTCCTGCTTTAGTGTTGAACATCCACTACTCCCCCTCCTACTTGCTCCAACTACTAGTGCTGCTGCGACTCTAACTGTCACCCCTCTGCTGCCATCAGTACTAGAATGAAAACTCTTCACGATACGAAAGCCACTAGTGAGTATCATTACCACTAGTGGCACCAGTGCGAACATTTACCTACAGTAATGCATCTATATACGCAGCAATAAGTTCCACAGAGGGGGTATTCTGGCACTGGCGGTGTCTATGAGGGGCAGCACGATTGTGGCAATACCTTGCAGGCAGCGACATGATTATGCTGTTGCTGGCCATCATCGCAATCTCAATCCTGATCCCTCATCCTCATCCTCTCCTGCTTGGTCGTTCTGGGGCCCTTTGTCGTCTTCTTCGCCGTTTTGTCGCCGTCGTTATTGTCAGTGCCAGCGTCTTCTTCGTCGTCATCGTTGTCGCCATTGCCAGCATCACGACCATAAAATCGCTGCCATTGCTGTGCTCATCACATAATTCGCATAGTCATCCTTGCCACCTCCACAGCCACCATCATCAGCATCGTTATCATCATCACCACGAACAATAATATTGGGCTCATCATCTTCGTCGTCATACCCATTAGATTCATCACCACCGCTATTGCAATTATCACCATCACCATAGTCTTCGTCGTTCTTTTCATCGCCATCGCCGTTGAAAGAGCAAGATGGTTGCCATTGGACCTAAACCCTAAACCCTAAACCGGACATCCTTGCTTTGGAATGCCAGGCCTTACACCCTGAGTAGCTTGATCCTGGCGTTCGATTCACATCGAACCTTCGCCAGGCCAAAGCCATGCTCTTCACTTGCTGTCTGGCGCTTCTACGAGATCTACCTCAACAACATCCTGGGTGGGCTTGTTTTACAGTTTCTGTTTTCTTGGGTTCCCCT